GAGTGCGTGTTGTCGTGGGGTATGGGAAGAGTATCTCAACAGCAATGGGGACCATGATGAGGACACATTCAAGTTCTCTCCATTCACACGGTCCATCCAGGTACAGCCGCTAGCCAGCGGCGACCTTTGCACAGGTTTCTGCAGCTGCACCTCCACACGGGGTGTCCACAGAGACAGCAAAACCACCCCCAAAGGAGCAGCTGTTTAGTGTGGCGGTGTGGGAAGGGAATAACAACACAAAATGTTTCTGAGACTCATATGCCTAATCATCTCCCTACCGCAACTCCTTTCCTTTAGCTGCTTTTCTTAAGAGTAGCCGTGTGTGTGTGTGTGTGTGTGTGTGTGTGTGTGTGTTTGTGTGTGTGTGTGTGTAACTGTGAGTTCTGTCATTTACTGGGAGGCCTTGTCTACTCTGCATTCAGTACCAACTTTCTCCTCCCAACAGCTTGAAGGACCAGAGTCATCTCCCTCTGGGTGCACTGGATATGAGGACCACAGTGCTCCCCAGATTCCTGGGGTTATCTGAGGAAAAGTGAGGTCCCATCTCTTCACTGAACTTGAATAACAAATGGAAATGAAAATGGCAGGCAGGTGTCTAGAAATCCCCCAGTGTTTTGGGGGGCCTTTCTCCCTACCTTAAGAAGTCTGAACCCAGTATATAGGAAGGAGGATGCTGGGACAGTTGGGCAGAGAGCCCAGGGAGAGCGGGACACATGAGGAGTATGGTTCTGTAATATTCTCAGCTCGGAGCTGGGAGGCTGCAAGGTGAGCCAGTGGCCCCAGCGCCGGCAGGGCTCAACCAGCTACAGTCAGTAGAGAAGATCGTTGAGTGCACAGAGGACAACAGTGTCCATGTGAAGTCCTGAGAGTCAGGATGCCACTGCTATCTGGTCAGAAGGAGCAGTGGGGAAGGGGCTGCAGGCATGGCTACACTCATGCTTCCAGCACGTTCGTCTGAGTAGGCAGCTCTATCTCCATTTTCACCCGGGGAAACTGAAGTGCGGGGAGGATAAAGCACAGAGCTGATGCCAGGCACCCCCTCCAAGAGGAGTCACCCACCTTGAAGCTGGCAGCTCACCTGACACCTTCTCCCTCACCCCTTCCAAAGGGTGCAAGGGGCTAAGGCTAAGAATGGGGACCTATGGGAAGGCAGTCGGGACAGCGGGGACACAGGTCAGAGAAATGCAGACAAAGGTGAGTGGTGAGGCAGGGCTCTGTCAACCAGAGCCAGGCAGGAGCCTCTGCAGCGCCATCTCCCGGGCACCACTGGCCTCCTAGTACCGTCATCACCATCCTCCTGAGGCTGACTGTGGACACAGGAGGGAAACAGGCAAAGCCCATGTAGCCAAGTCAAGGCCAGCTCCGGGTATTGCTCAGATTCAGATTTGATCCAGGGTCGGTAGGGTCAGCTTCCTTGTAGGCCTCCCTCTTGGCTAAGATTCTAGGGCCATACCACAGTGATGAGTTCCTGGGAGTCACTGCAAAAGTTGCACTGGCTGAGTATTGTGGGTTAAGTAGAAGTTTGTTAGGGTCAAACGGAAAGACATCTTGGGTCCAGCAGGTATGACAAGGCAGACCCAGACCCGGAAATGGTCCCAGCACAAAGATGACGTCAAGGAAGTGCGACACTGCCTCTTCTGCTGAGGATAGATGCTAAAGCATCCTGTGCAGGATGCTGAGCAGTCTGGGGGCTGGGGCACACACACGCAAGAGCCGCCAGGAGCTGATACTTGAGAGAAAGTTCTATGTTAAAAGTTTATCATGAAAAAAAAAATGCTCGTCGGGTGGTGGCGCACACCTTTAATCCCAGCACTCGGGAGGCAGAGGCAGGCGTGTCTCTGTGAGTTTGAGGCCAGAGCGAGGTCCAGGACAGGTTCCAAAGATACACAGGGAAACCCTGTCTCAAAAAAAAATTACTCAAAAAAAGGCTGGGGCTGGGCAGTGAAGAGACCCTCAGTGGAAGCAGGCAGGGCCAGCCTGCCTTCTGAGAGCAGACCAAAGCAGAATAGCCCTAGTGAGAATACTGGGGAAGGCGGTGTGGGGGTGGTGTTTATAGATGTTTGTAAGTTCAGACCCACCTCCTCTGTTGCCGTCCCCACCTCCCACTGTCCGGCCCAGCTGGCAGGGAGCAGGGTGATAAGGGTCCCCCTCCCACACCCATGCCCCCACACACTGGCAATGCATTTCAACAGCCGCCCGACAGCTAAAGGGTTCGTGGGCACTCTGGTCAGAGTCATGGGAAAGAAGCCAGACCAAACCTGGGGGTTCAGATACCCATTCCCCTCGATCCTCCCAGCTTGTGAAGCACTTTGAGGATATAAATAGAGGATTGATTAATCCAAGGAGGTTGCCAAAGTCTATGGAAAAATAGATGGTTTTCTACTCAAGCCTAACAAATTTCTATTTACCCCTCAATACTCAGCCACCAATACAACTTTTGGGGTGACTTTTTCTGACTGCCAGGAACTCATCCCAGCCCCACCCAGCAGGCGGGAAGAATCTGTAGGATGGGTGGGGGTCTAGCTAGACACATCAGGGTCTTGTATGGGCCCCCAGGAAAGATTAAATGTGAAAAGGGGCAGAAAAAGCTTTCGGGGATGAGGTCACAGGAAACAGGGGCCAGCAGCACAGTGCTAGGCTGTTAGTGGTGGGGAGGGGGCACAAGTCGTCCAGCTGTGAAGGAAGGTGCCCAGCGAGTGGCCCTGTGGGGTCATACAGCCTGCAGAGTCCACCACCAGCCCAGGTGGGGCTTGAGCTCTCTGCATCTCCTTGGGACGGGGCCAAGGTCTAGATCAGCAGCGCTTCTGAGGGCCCCCGTGAAGACCAAGGAGGACTGAGGAGTGGCTACTACCTCTCAGTGGTGGGTGAAGGGGCAAAAGGAGACATGAAGCATTAGGAACTTGAGTTGCTTAAGTTAATCCATCTGGATGGCGTTTTTTAGGCAATTAAATTGATTGAGAACACAGCATGGTTTTGCTGAACATAACTCATGCAGCTCTTACCAAGCAACTGGCTTGGCCAAGGCTCCTGTGGGTCTGCTAGCATGGCCAGGAACCAAAATAGAGCAGGGAGAAGAGCAATCTTTGTTCAAAAGCACAGCACACAACAATGGGAAGTAACCTGTCTCCCAGACACCCTTGCATACCAGGCAGCCCTCACGGCAGCGAGGGACATGGGCGGGACAAATCACCAATGTGGCAAAAGCCGGATCAGCCTAGGATGGTGACAAGAGGAAATGGGGTTGACCACAAAACTCAGCATCCTCCTGGGTTCATGAGGCCCATGGTCCACCTGCCTTGCGAGGCCAAAAATCTGTGCAAGCCAACACCGCATCAGTGAGCAGAGTGTCTTGAGTTTTGGCACAGTGTATATTGCAAGCCCTCTGTGGGAGCTGACCCCAGCACGATTACCATCAGTGTGGGGCATTCATACCACACAGAGACAAAGTCACACGTGTGCACACACACCTAATGTGCCTCGAATCGTGACCCTCCTCTGTGTGCTCTCCCCAGGAGTGTGCAGTGGAGTGTGCAGGCTCCGGGATATGGTCTGGAAACCATGGGAACTGATCTCAGACGGGGCCCGGGCTCTCTCTGAGAACGGAGGGCTCCACGCTGGTTCTGTGTCTTGGCAGAGAAGAACCCAGCTCACAGCCCCAGACCCTGAATCACAGCTCAGGACAGAGGGAGGGCCCGCTGACAGCAGGTGACCCGGCACCCATGACTCTACCATCAAAGCTGGCTCCCCATCTAGGGCACAGAAGAGAACTTGCTCCCTGTTCTGGCCAAGGTGCCTGCATACCATCACCTTCCCTGGCCCTCTGGGCTGGAGGTCCACCACGGGGAGGGACTAAGCAGCCCCGGGTATTACCCAGTGATAGGGATAAAGACAGCAGCTGATACAGAAGCACCCCGGGGCCTTGAAGACCTTGAAGACCCTATCTTATGTTCAGAAAATGCTTCCAAGAGGAAACACAGGAGAGCCTTGATGGTCTGGTATACAGCAGGTGCTCAAACATGCTTACACAGATGTTGATAAATTGTAGGTGTGGTATCAGCTACATGACCTGTGGGTTGTCAGATTGGAAACTGGAGACTGCCAATGGTTCACATCCTCAACATGCCCACTAGAGGAGACCCTGCCGATGCCCCAATTCAGCCCAAAGCATCTCCCACTCAGGGTAAGAGAGGTGAGAGGTCAGGGATCCTTGGCCCTCAATTAGCTCAGATTTCAGTCTGGAAGCTCACTCAGGCTGCAGTGTCTGAGGACGGGAGGAGGAGGACGTGGGAAGAGAGGGGTGACGTGGCAATGCCATTTCACATTGGCAGCCACCCACTCGCCACCCCCATGGCCTCACCACACCTTCAGCCCACCCCACTTGGGGATTCTATCCAGATCCCTATGCAATGCCAGGACCCCCCACTCTCTCTGTACCCCATCCCCAGGAAGCTCCAAGAGTGGCTTCTGATAACCCGCCTGAAATAATGTGTCCCCACCCGCAACAGGCCCTGGCTCTGTCTGGGTGATCCACCTGGCCAGTACCATGTAAGACCCCTCCTTGCACACCTGCACGCCTGCAGAGGCCTCCCTGGGGCAGACAATGCCGTACTCAGCTCAGAAGACTCAGTTAAGAAACCATCTGGATACCCAAGATGCACCAGGATGGTACTTCACCAGCAGCGAGACGTCAATAGGAGCTTGCCATCACCCACCCACAGCCTGAAGTCACTGCTTCTCCTTGGCCATAACTTTAGGGAAATACCACCTAGTCCCCCAGTGCCTCACTAGCCTGACAACTTGTCTCTTCAGGTCTGGAGCGGAGATGGAGAAGCTATGTGGGACCCCAGAAAGATTAGATGGCAACCCCCAAACTGCAGAGCGAAAGTTGTGAGCTGAGGGCAAATTCCTCCCATGTCCACTCAGCCAAAGCCATCTTGAAGGCCTTGGCATTCCCTGTCCCCTCACCACAGTCCCAATAGGCAGCCCCTGCCGGATCCTACCTCTGGCTGACAGCTTCTTGGTATTAATGATCTTGGCTGCATATTCATGGCCGGTACAGAGCTTGACACAGCGTCGGACCACAGAGAAAGCCCCCCTGGAGAGGACGCAAGGCAGGAGACAGACACAGAGAGAGGGAGTGAGAGGGAGAGAGAGAGAGAGAACCAATTAATCTCCCAAAGACACTTGGAATCTAGCCACTGCCAGGCCTCAGGCACATGGCCAGTGACCAAAGAAAGCCTGTGCCCCTCCCACACAGTCCCCACCACCCTATTTGGCATCAGCAGGACAGGCCACTGTTGTGGGGACTCTGTGAGGAGGAGACCAGCTGGTCTCCTTGGGAGGGTCCCCACTCCATTCCTGCACAACACCCAGGTCCTGATCCATTGGTCAGCTGGAATGAGTTGATGATACCCTGACATGTCCTTCCAAGAGACAAGGCCAGTCTGGAGCACAGGTGTCTGGGAACCGGTGCAAGCCGGATACAAGGACTCACAGAAAGCTTGAGAGTAGTATTATATCGCTTAACTGCAAAGCGGGAGGCAGGGAGCTCCTGGGATACAACATTGTCCCCATGCCACAGAAGAGGACGTGGGGGTCCAGGGTGGGGCACAAGGAAGTGGCTTACAGTGACAGCATCAGGAAAGGCTCTGAATGCTGCCCGCAGAGCTGACCCGCAGAGCTGCCCCACAGTCGAGGGGAGAGGAGGCTGAACCAGGCCAAGCGCTCCCTGTTCCAGCCCCTCACGTCTACCTCTGCACCCCTAAGGTACTCAGAACACCATGTCTCAGACAGTGACTACCATTTCCTTTTTGGTACAGTCCTTCCAGATGAATCTTTGTAAAAATGTATTAGGAAAAAATAAGTACTAGCTCTCCATCTGATTGGCTCCTGGATGGCTCGGGCCGCTATGGCCAGCGGTTATACTCCACAGCCGCAGGACTCAGTGGCTTTAGTTCCGGGGCAGAGACAAGGTCTCATGCTGCCCACCACAGCCTAGCTGCTGTGACCCTGTGGACAGGGTGCAGGCTGCTCAGGGGCGGGGGTGGCAGGCGTGGCCTGTGTTCTATCAGTAGTTTCTTGTTCCATTTTTCCATTTATGTGAGAGTTACAGTCTCAAAATATTCCTTTGTAAGGAAAATGTAAAGAAAGAGTTATTGGTGGGTTTTTTTCTCTCCCAGTTTTCTTCTTTGGTTTTGTTTCTAGCTGTGTTAGAAGGAACCCAGAGCCTTGCACACTGTAGGGACATACGCCACCTCTGAACCATACCCTACCCTGGACTACTGTTCCCCACAGCCACTATGTCTGCACCAGCTTCCTCCTGTCTGTCACTTCCTGGGGCTCAGTTTCCCCATTTACATTCTGAAGCAGCAGGCCTCACAGAGCAGCTATGTGGCTCTCTGTCTGTCCCAGCCAGCCTCACCTTCCCTTTGCTTGGGTCTGAGCTGCCATCTGTGTTGCTCAAGCCCAGGGGGTGCAACACCCACAGTTTGGCTGTGCAAGCATCTTCTGGGAGGTCCAGACCAGCTCCTGAAGGGAGTGCACAGTCTTGCTTTCCCGCGCCAGGGCCAAACTGTGCACGTCTGCAATGTCAGACCCTGTCTCAGGTGGGGAGCCCATATGTAAAGCAGGGTAGAGGCCCCCTAAATACCGTCTTATCAGAGAACAGGCTCCTGGCTGCTGACCAGACCCAGGGAAGGACATGAGTGTCTGTGAGCCACAGTCCTCCTGCAGCGCGAGTGTGTCCAGACACAAAACTACCAAGAGTCTGTGATTGGTGGACAGCCTACAGACTACTTGGAGAGCTCCCTCCCCTTGTCCAGATGCCCCCTTTTCCTCTGCAGAAGGCTCTGAGCTGTCAGCACAGGCTTGGGCTAGGCACCCAGCAGAGAAGGGAGAAGCCAGGGCTGGACAGCTGCCAGAGGGAAGAAGCAGGGATGAGGCTGTGAGGTGGGGAGGTGCAGGAACAGTCAGGCAGCCAGTGAGTTCTCAGCAGCAGCGGCGAATGGTGAAGGAGGCCTTGGCCTCAATCACAGGCAGGAGACCCCATTCCAGCGACTCAGACACCCTCCTGGGAGAAGGAGGCTGCTACGAAGGGAGAGGAGGAAGGCTGACCCCGGAAGCCGCTGTGTGTGTGCTCAGTGCCTTGGTGTCACCTCTTCCATGGCTTTGAAGCCAGCTCTGAACAGGCTCCTTGCCAGCGCAGCCATTCCCCAGACCGCTGCAGGCCTGGAGATGCAGCTGCAGAACAACTCTCTTCTTCCCCAGTGACACTGCCACCTGCCACATGTCACTGTCCCAGGAATGCCCCCTGCAAGCAGCCACAGACATGTATCACACAGGCAAGGTGGGGGTCCCTGACACCATGGCCATCTCCATGACATCGCTGTCCCCCTCAGGGCTCACAGCCCCTGTCACTCCAGTTAATAATGACTGAGAAACAGTACGGACAAAGACCCTCGGTCTGAACTGTCACCCCATCCTGCCTCATAAGCATCCTTCAAGACACAGTTCAAACAGCTTGGTCTCCTCTGAGGATCGCCCCTCACAGGGTCTCACGATAATCTCTCATGCTCATTTCCATCCCTCACCCCCACCCCACCAAGACTCCCTAACACTGGACCTAGGATTTCCTTCACACGAGGCAAGCGCTCTACCATCTAGCCCCTTTTTTATTCTTTTAAAGACAGACTGCTACCAACTTGCCCAAGCAGACACTGTTTTTTTTGATTAAGAAACTACCATTATGAGCCGGACAGTGGTGGCGCATGCCTTTAATCTCAGCACTTGGGAGGCAGAGGCAGGCAGATCTCTGTGAGTTCAAGGCCAGACTGGTCTACAGAGCTAGTTCCAGGAGAGGCTCCAAAGCTACAGAGAAACCCTGTTTTGAAAAACCAAAAGAAAAAGAAACTACCATTATATTATGATTTTATATCTCCATTTTTTTAAATTGTGACAGAAAAAATACCTATTTTTAATATATTATATTTTAATTTTTTCTTTTGAGAACTTCATGGATGCACACAATGTATTTTGATCATATCCACCCCCACTCCTCTCTCCCAACTCCTCCTGGATTATCCCAACACATCCCTGAACCAACTTCACTTTTCCCAGAGCCCACATAGGCCTTGAACTTTCGATCTTCCTGCTCGTCATCTTGAGAGATGGGGCTTAGTCTTTCCACTTTATTATGACCATTTATCTGCCCATTTCTGTCCTTACCCCCCGGGGCTCTCTACAGACAGGCTGTGTCCTGCCCACCCTGAATTCTGGTGCTAGGCCCCGCCCTGAGTCTATGACATGGAAGTCAGGACAGACGGAAAGCGCCACAGGTGCTTCGGATGCTGGAGCTGCCAGACCTTGGTGCTGGTCCAGCCTGGCAGTACAGGAGCGGCTGCAGGAGAATGATGGCCAGGGAGAGGGGCAGGAAGTAGGAGGGGTTCCCTCAGGTCCTCATGAAGTAGGGAGACCCTATTAGAGTGGCCGAGAAAAAGGGGCCACCTACCAACACTGAGGCCACACGGTCAGACTCAGAACCAGCAGAGCCTGGAGAATAGGGCTTGTAGCCCCTCTGCTTCGTAGTAGCACAGGCAGGCGGGTTGGGCCGTGGCAGTAATCACCTCAGAAATACTACTGACTCCAAAACCAGCCACCTACCCATGGCAACGGGGGCAGAAGCGGAGCCATGGGCAGAAAGACGTCCAGAGGGAGCTGGACACAAAGCAGAGCAGGCCAACACTCCTGCTAGACACTGCGTGAACTTCATCTGAGCACCAAGGTCACCCGTGAGATGCCTGGTGCTAGCTTTTAGAGACTGCTTTAGAGCTGAGGAGAAAGTGATTTGAATAACCTGTTCAGATCACAAGGCCCCAGGGCGCCAAGCACAGTATAGGGCTTTTAAAATCAAATAAACCTAATTAAAACAAGAAAATGCTCTTTGAGCCCTGATTTGCCGAGAGCTCCAAATACTGTCTCATTTACAACAGGACCAACAATACCTGGAGACGGGCCTGAGAAAGGGGAAGGTTTAATTCCATACAGGATTGGCGCTCCAGAGCTGGGCTACCTGGGGCCACTGCTCTCCACACCTGCTTGTCACTGGGGTGCCATCTCCACTGCAGTCCCCCAGGGAGAAGCTCCAGGGGGAAAGCATCTGTCCTGTCAGATGGCCACAGATGACCGGAGGAAGAGTCAGAAGGAGATCCATCTGCCCCCATCTTCTCAACCACTTGGCAATTCCTGCTCTTTGACAGATAGTCTGGCCATCTACTATCCCCTCACCCCCACCCCGCTTCACAGACAGCATCTGGCTTCAGGATTTCCAAAGGTCCTGCCTCTGAGATGCTGCCAAGCCAGCCAACACCAGGAGCCTGCTGCCTGTTGCTGACCGCGGACTTCTGTCAGAACTCCCTTCCCGTTCCCCTCTGCGGCTCTCTGTCCTATTCCAGGCTCTCCCGCTGTCCAGGCTGCCCCCTGCTGCCTGACCACAGTATGGCTACTGCAGGGACCTTAGCTGATGCTCGCAGGAGATGGTAGACCTGTAGTCTCAGGTCCATAGTTACTGCCTCTGCCCAAGATTCCTGGCGGGGAGGACCGAGTCACTGTCACACTGGCAAAGGCCGAGTTACCATGGTTCCCAGATCTCGGAGTATGACATCCTTTCTCCTACAGACCCTGTCGGATGTGCTCTGGGGACTCCAGATGGCAAGTGGATAATGGCTGCTCATCTTCTCCTAGACCATGTCTGGGTGAGATGAGATGACCCCTGCAGATGCCAAACAGCACCATCCAGCACCCAGAAAGCACCAGTCACATGGTTCTGCTTCTAGGATGGTGTAGATAGGGACCAGACCCCTGCCCACCCCTACAGGTCACAGAGCCACTGCAGACCGCACTCAGGAAAGACAAGTCAAAGGGGTGCTCTTAGTCACCCCCCACAAGGTTTGGAGTCTGTGCTCTTAGTAGGCATTTCCCACTCCTTTCTCTGCATCCTCACCCTGTATCCGTGCCCTGTGGCCTCTTCTTGCTACCCTGGGCTTTCCTGCCTCTGTCTTGAGTTTCCACTGGCCTGTGCCTGTGAGGGAAGCTAACTAT